TTAGGGTGTTTTAAAGTTTTTCATAAAAAAAAGAATTAGGCACAAAAGGAATAGCAGAAATAGAGCAAGAAAAGTAAGACTTCAACCCGAAGGAATATACCATTCCATCGTACAACCAAAGGAACAAACCTCCCTTCAAGTGTTTACAATACTTCATCACTCAATCCCTCAATAAATGGCTCTAAAAAGCTATGTAAAATGTTTATGGAATGATGCAATGTAAAGCTATGAAATGTGTGTGGAATGGTTGTTTAAAGTAGACCCAAGAGACCCCATTTTTATACCAAAAAACAAGGTGCAACGATTGGTAGAAGATTAGGATTGATTGGCATGATTTTTGGAAATCAAATCAAAAGTACATCTACTGAAATCTGGCCTAACATTGATGTTCATAAAGTGAACATCGTTGTTTTGGCTTTGACTTTCCTTTTGAAATGGATAACGGTCATGAGAACATCGATGTTTTGAAGGCTACATTGATGTTGGGGTTGTTGACTTTCAAAAACAGAAAGATTTTAAAAATGGCTAACGTCAACACCTTTCTTGTGCTTTTTGTTCCTTCAAGAACTTTTGCTATGCCTTTGAATCTTTTCATTTTGTTCCGATTCCTTCAAAGAACTTTTTCTATGCCTTTGAATCTTTTCATCTTATTCCATGTTACCGACAGTTTGTCATTATCAAAACTAAACGGAAACTAACATTGTCATTAGCAAAACGTCAATGTAAAAACATTTTCCAACAAAAATAAGGCAAAATAAAAATTTTAAAATGAATAAATAAATTAAATTAGTAAAATTTATCTTAAGTAATTAAAATTGATAAATTATAAGTAATAATATTAATTTGGAATCCAATGTATACATTTTATTGTTAGAGAAAAGCTTTGGAAGTATTAATTGAAATTGGATCCAATTTGATTAAACAAAAAATTGCTGGCAGGTATCCCTAGTTTTGTGGTAAGAACTACCGGGTACCTCCAATTTTGAAAATATACTTCCAAGTACCCTGAATTATAAAAAAAATATACCAAGAGGAGATTTTTCATCCATTCTCCATCCATCCCATTTTTTCCGTCAAATTCATCATCATCATCATCATCATCATCATTAGTCCACCACCACCATCTCCATCTTCGTTCTTCCTCCTCTTCTTCTTTTTCTTCTTCTTCTTCTTCTCCTCCTCCTCCTCCTCCTCCTCCTCCTCCTCCTCCTTCCACTCCCGATCTTCCAAACCCCTAACCCCTCACCCTTATTTCTTCTTCTTTTCCTTCTATTATTATTACTATTATTATTATTATTGATATTAATATTATTATTAATATTATTATTATTATTATTATTATTATTGTTATTTTTATTTTTATTTTTATTACTATTACTATTATTATTAAAAATAATCACCAAGGTTCAAGTGACATTGGAGGGCAATGTCATGGGATGACCCGGGGGCGCTCCGGTGCCCCGTTCGTAAAATTGACGGTTCCTATCCCCCTAACCCCCCGGTAAACCCCCCACCCCTTTCAATTGCACCCCACAAGTTGATTTTGACTTTGGAGTCAAACCTTCCTGTAAAAAGAATAGTGAAACTATTATATAGTTTTTTTAATAATAATTAAAGAAGAATAATAGAATATTACTTCATAATAATAATGAATTTAGAAGAAGAAAATAATACTTTGTAATAAATAATAATAATAATGATAATAATTAAAAATTATTAATATTAATTTTGAATATTAACGATAAAATTTATAAGAAAAAGAATAATACTTTGTAATAAATAATAATAATAACAATAATGATAATAATAATAATAATAATAATATAAGGAGAATAAGAAGAAAAAGAAGAAAAAGAAAAAGAAGAAGAGGAAGAGGTGGGGAAAGTACGTAAAGATGGAGATGGTGGTAGAATGATGATGATGATGATGAAGAAATTGACGGAAAAATTGAGATAGATGGAAAATCCCCTCTTGTTATGTTTTTTTATAATTCAGGGTACCTGGGAGTATATTTTTAAAATTGAAGGTACCCGGTAGTTCTTACCACAAAATTGAGGGTACCTGGCAGCAATTTTTTGTTGATTAAAGTTTGTGCTGAAGTAATTAGTTGCGCCAATTTGGCAAACATAATATGTATATTAAAAAATATGTAATGTTACTAAAGTTGGGCGGTAGTAGTGGAATGGGTACTAAATGCTAAGCGGTAACACTTCCAGTTCGAATCCCCAAAACTTTTAGGTGCCTGTCACTGCCTGAGCCTGCATTTGTTTTTCCTTTCTTCCTTTCCAACTCATTTCTTGAAATTTCCTACACGGTTTTCATTCATTTTTTTACAATGTAATGTTTTATAACTTGTGTTTGAACACATTTGGAGTTGTATAACATGTTTTTAACAACAAAAAATTTATAAATAAATCATATTAAAAGAGTATGAAAATATAAAAAAACATTCATTTTTGCATATTTGTCACTTTTGCATTTTCACACATCCTTTTCCACGAATTTCACTCTTCCAACACATCATTTGGACACTAGTATACCTCCAGAACAGATTAGGATGAATATAGTTCAACAAAATATATTTTAAGACCAATCATTCAAATACTTTTACATAAATAATCCAAATATTCTCTATTTTTCTCCAATCGTATGTTGTAGCTATCACCTTCATTCTTGGCTCATGTATAGCTATGAAGTTAGCATTAATATGTACTTTTTCATAATTGTGTCTAGATTACCGTAGTTGAGTTAGTTTACTAACCTTGGTTACCATATATAGCACCACAAATACTATAAATACCCCTCTCACGGGATGCTCTTAGTCTTAATATGAAGTATATTTAACCTTATTATTCATGCTATAAAAATATTTTGATAGGGAGGATCGTGTGGTCTTTTTACTGTACATCTAGATTTACATTGTTTTTTGTACATCTGCCCGAATACTAATTTACAAATAACAGAACACTGATTTTGCATTTTTCGTATTTTGGTATATTTATTCAAAGCATGCAGAGTGTAAAATATAGAATATATTCTATACTTGGTACTTTAAAATGGCCGGGGGTGTTCATTCTATTTTTAATATTATATTACTGGAGTACCCTAACACCCCAACCCACGTAACCCGAAACAACGAGTTAGCGAATCGGGTTGTCACTAATTTGGTATTCACACGCACAATATTTTAAAAACATTTAAAACAAAACATTCATTCATATTTATTTAAGAACAAATCATAGTTTAATCGGAGTAAACAAAACCCAAATGTTGCGGAAGCCTTTAGAAATATTCAACATTCTTATATTTTAAATAAACAGATTCAATGGAACATTTAAAATTAAAACAAAACAGCCTCGGGCCATCCACCAGTGCCACGTCTCACTTTCCTCCAGGCTGTTCCTCGTCCAATCTTTGACCCCTACCTGTAAAAATAGGGAGAGTGGAAGTATCTAACGCTAGAACTAACTCATAAACTAGCACCCATTAACGTACGTCCGTTTGTTTCATATCCTTGTGTATTGTTACCATACTTAACATATTCGACTAAAGTCTAAGTAAACACACTAGTCATGGACACTCTTGGAAAGGTGTCCAAGAGGCCAAGCTTGTAAACCCAATGGAAGGTGTCCAATTGGACGGGTTGGAGCCCCTACCACGGAGGTGCCGAGGCAGGTACGTTTTAACTCTGGAGACCATCAGATGTACGCCGATAGGGGTGTAAATGGATAACCGAAAATTCGATTACCGTCCGCATCCGTATTCGTTTAAATGGAAAAAAACCGCATCCGTTTTAAACGGATATTATCCGTATCCGATTAAGCACATCCGATTGATAAACGGATGCGGATTTGGTAATTACTGATCCGATCCGTTTAAAATCTGATCCGTGTATACATCCGTTTATATATCCGCATATCCAATTATCCGATCCGTTATACCGAATATAGGTAATAAAAAATTATCCGTAGTTAAAAAAATTATCCGTAGTTTAGACTAATTAATATTTTTATGTATAAAGTATACTCCTAGTTTCGTAATTTCTACTCAGCCCACTAAGCCTAGGCCCAAAACCACTATTGAGACTTGGGGTATTGATTAAACCTAAATAATACCTAATACGGAGCACTTTTTTTCCGGAACCAGCATCCAGCGACCAACTGACCTAGCGGCGTCGTCTTCCTCAGCTATTTTCCGAATCTAGCGACCATTTCAGCGAGTCTGCGGCTTCAGCTCAGCACCTCATGATGTGATTTAACTGATTTTACTTTTTGGTTACAAATTTAGATTTCATGTTTTACAAATTTTGTTGGTTGTTGCAAGGTCAAATCTTTTTGTTGTTTGATTTGTAGATTCAGAAACTTGGTTAAGGATTTAAAGCTTTTGGTTGTGCTTGGTTGATTTTAGATTTTTAGATTTTCATATTACATATTCGGATATTCGGATGGATGTTTTTTTCAGATACGGATACGGTTTTTCCTTGTGAATCGGATGTTTTATCGAATCTAGAAACGGATTTGGATTCGGATTTTTTACTAGTCGGATGCTCCATCGGAATCCGCATCCGTATCCGCCGGATTCGGATTCGGATTTAGTATCGTAGACATCCGTCGGATACGGATGCGGATTCGGATAACGGTTTTGCTAATCGGATTCGGATACGGTTTTAATACATCCAAAACGGATATTATCCGTTTACACCCCTATACGCCGACACCTGCATGACCTTAAGTTCCAAAATCCTCAGTTCTATAAGCGACTTAGATTTTCTAGTTCAGTTCAGATCCGTTTGATACCACTAGGTGACTTGTTCCATAATTCGGGTTTTAACATATAATATTCATCATTCCATTAGTTCAATAGGTTTGAATTAATTTGTTGCTATTACCAAATTTTATGACCAAAATATCAAAAGAGACCAATTTGCAATCAATTAGAAGATATGGGGTCAAATTGTAATTTACATAACTAATACTACAACTCCAATTATTCCACTGGAAACTAGCTAAGCTTTGGAGTCGCCGTCTTCCTTCTAACGCAGATCCGAACCCAGCAAACAGCGTTTCTCCCATCCTCTTCGTCAAGAGTAGAACACAGCGGCAGTAATCCCACCCTAGCAATGGTGGCAGTGCGATGCAGAGGTGGTGCACTCCTGTTCGGCGTAACCATGGATTCCGGCGATGGGACCCGCGGAGAAGAAAGCAGCAGTCAAGCAGCGGTCAAGACCGTACGGCGACGGAGACAACGTTGCCGGTGACGTCCTCCCCCCTTCCGGAACCGCAGCAGCGTCGGCTTAGTCGGACGGTAGCGGCGAGCCTTCCTTCAGCGGAGATCGAAGAACAGAGCAGAGCAGAAGTACGCAACAGAGCAGAGGGGATAGAAACGGAAAAAGAACAGAGACAGAGACCGAAGAACATAGCGGCGAATTCCCCGGTTCCAAATCCAATTTCAATTTAAACCACAAGCGGTCTCACAATCAACAACCATAATCACGATCCAACACAAGAATATATCAATAAATCCTAATCTATGAATCAATTCTAACGAGAGATATATTGGAACTGAGAAGTCCGGATCCGGAGAAGTCCGACTTCCGAGGAATCCGGATTCCGAGAGATCCGAATTCCGAGATGTCCGAATTCCGAGAAATCCAAACTTGAGAAGTCCAAATCCTTTGATGACCGAATCCCATTCTAATTAGGATTGATATTGATTTATTTGTTTCCTAGTTTGATTATGATTTGTTTCCTTGTAGGATTTGTATTCCTTGTCTATTTTGGAATCATCCTCTCCTATAAATAAAGAAGAAACCCCTTGTAACTAGATAGAACAATTGAATATACAGAATCAATTCCCTCTTATCAATTTCTACATGGTATCGGAGCAAGATTCCTAGGAAAACCCTAATCTAGACAAACGACGGTCCATCACCGCCGGAATTTCCTTCTCGAACGTCGACATGGCAGAAGTAGAAGAAAATCTCGTCGGCAAGCTCTTCGAAGAGGAAGAGAAGATCCCTACGAAGGGAAGTTCTTACGAACTCAAGAACGCAGACACACCTGGATTAATTATCACCCAAGTCAAACTAAACGGTGATAATTATGAAGAATGGGCTCGTGCAATGAGAATTGCATTCCGTGCAAAACGGAAAATTGGATTCATCGACGGATCCATCCCTTGTCCAGAAGAGGGAGATGAAAACTATGAAGAATGGTGGATTGTGAATGCCATGTTGGTCTCATGGATTTACAACACAATTGATGGCAGCCTGAGAAACTCCATCACACAGGTAGAAGAAGCAGCAGAACTATGGAAGGATATCCAAGATCGTTTCTCTGTTGCAAACGGTCCTCGAATTCATCAACTGAAGAAGGAACTTGCAAATTGCAAGCAAAACGGTCAGTCCATCGTTACGTACTTTGGAAAATTAAAAACCATATGGGACGAACTCGGCGATCATGAAAAAATCCCCGCTTGCAAGTGTCATGGATGCAAGTGTGGGATAAGCAAAGCGCTTGTCATCCAACGTGACAAAGAAAAGGTTCACCAATTTCTGATGGGATTAGATAACGAAGGATATGGG